AACAGTAAAATTAGCAAATTCTGTTCTCATAATTATTGGAGTGTTATCAGACTAAATGTTTGTTAAAATTCCAATATGATGCACTAGGAAAAACTGCTGCTTTTTTGAATACCCAGAATATAAAGTGTATTCATTTGTAGCTATTCACATTACGTTTAAAGCACATCATCTTTTTAAAGTTTGCATTAGCCTGCTTTCCTACCCAAGCACAAAAAGTAGCCTACCTTTAGTTTTCACTTGCATATTTTATTCAGACATTTCTATTAGAGCTAAAAAACAATCTCATTTCTATTACTCATGGAAGAGGAAGAATATAATAGATGTGAAATGGTGGAATCTACATGAGTTGATTTCTTTTACTGCAAATTGTACATTAGTCATTGCATAGTACAACTATGATGTGTCTGGTTCTATAAAAGTCTGGGACTGTTGTAACTTTGAAACAATCATGCTGCCTGCTATGCAGGTTACTTAGCCAAAGCTTTACCTTTTAAAAGGAGAGGCATTTGAAATACATAAATATATAAGTCAGTCAGTGTGAGGGATTGAGTCTCTTAGGTAAGTAAAATCTCATACACCTTGGTCATCAACTAAAATCTTTTTGCATTCATTCTAAAATGTGACCTCCTCCCATTTTAAAAGAATCTTGACTTTAAAAATGTCAAATAATTTCCCTATAGGGTGAATGACACAGATGGAACATTACTACCTTTCCCTTCTCCACTATGATGCATACCTGCTTATCCCCATATCAGGCATAAGAAAGCCGAGATTCCAAGGACCCTAGGAAAGTCCTCACTGTACCTATGATCAAACAGTCCAATATCCCTAATTCCTCTTTCTGCAGCAGGGAATAACTTCAGTACTGAACCCATTATTCAGAAACCCTGAGGAGATATACTACAATAGTAGGAGAGATGCAGAGAATTTGGGGCTGGCTAGTTGTTAGTTGTATGGACCCGCATGTGTAAAATGAGGAAAGTAACACTGGTTCACAGAGTTACTCTAAGAATTAAATGTAGGTAATAACATCCTGGTGTGGCACTGTAGGTTAATGAGCTGGACTGCAAAGTCGGTTTGAATCGCAAGATCGGTAGTTCAAGGTCACCAGCTGCTCCTCAGAAACCGTACACAGGGTTGCTATGAATCGGAACCGACTCGACGGTACTTAGTGTCAACAACAAGAAGCACACAATGTAAAATGAGCTTTAGCACAAAAGAGAGGTGATGCATGTTCATTTAAAGCCAACACAGACATCCAGGCAAGCCACAAAAACAGATGGAGGCAAATGGGTTGAGATAGAAGTAATGTGGTGTTTACCTCTCCATGTGTACTTTAACTTGGGGACCTTTGTCTCATGCGGACAACCCTTGGCACCGATATCTGAAGCATAAATAACTATTCCGAAAGTTAACAGTTGTGATCACAAGAAAGGTCGGTCTGGTTTTAAGGTTTTTTTATGGGGTGGTTGTTGATTAGATTTTCTGTTTCCTTCTCAAAAGATGCAAAGCAGAACTTAAAGTAACTATCTTTGCTTGCTACACCCAATTTTCCCTCTTAATGATACAGACTGTTTGGGACTGTCTTATTTCTAAAGTAATCATTAATCTTTGTGCATAGGTTAGTCAAAAGGGGAGTACTAATATCTGAACTGATTAAGAGAAAGCTACAGAAATATGCTGCTAGGAAGTTGGAGTAAATTATTATTTGTAACTAGCAGTTTAGTCCAAGGGAATGAAACTTAACACTTTACTTGACCCCCACAGGGTATAACTGGCCCCTTAAATTCATTCTCATCCAGTAATGGTACTGCCTGAACCAAGAGCTCTGGGGACTTTGGGATAAACGCCATTAGAGCAGACTCATAGAAGTTGCCACCTGACATTACTGAAACAGAGATTAACAGAGCACTGTGTAGGTCAGGGACAAAGAGTAAGGGTGTTTGGTGGTGGTAGTTATGTGCCATGGAGTTGATTTCGACTTACTGCAAAACCTTATACCAGGTTCTGAGTCTGTAAATCTTTACAAAAGCAGAAAGCCGCATCTTTCTCCCGCAGAACAGCTGGCAGTTTCAAACTGCTGACCTTGAGGTTTGTAGGCCCATTAGTAAGCACTACGCTACCAGAGCAACTTCCCAAACCTTTACTCACAAGACGTTATTAACCAATGCTGCTACCGTTAAAAGAGTCCCCAAATCAGGAGCTCAGTCCCTGGGAGACAGTCTAGCATATCATTTAATAAAACGGATGAAAGCTAAGGTAGCAAAGGGACAGTTAATCGTGTGAGTTATGTGCTAGTCAGAGAGTTAATGGGATGGGGAGAAGGGGCTAGGTTGAGTCCACTGGAAGAGGGCAGGAAATGAAATGATACTTATCTAAAAGTTTTATTCATTTTTTGTTGGTTTTGTTTTAAGGCTAGTCCTTATAACTATATTGCATGTTTTGTTTCTCTGCTAATCTATTTTGAGGACAGTGTTTGGCCCCTGTCTGAATATAGTCTGTTATTCCTGCTAATTTAATTGTGCAGGTCAGAGAAAAAGATTTAGGATCAGTAAAAAAAAGGCAAGATAATATACATTTAAATATGAGTTCCTTATCACAATTAGACTAAATAGCCAAAACAAGACTCTGCAGGGCGGGTACGTGAAGGGTAAAATGAGAACAGGACATTTCTACTTAATGCATAGTCTTGGCATGTAAATGAAGACATCTGAAGAAGCACACAGGTTTGAAGCGGCTCAAACATTCTATCATAATTAGAAACATTTTAAGAGCCCTGTAATTTCCAATCAAAATTACAGTAATTTCCGATATACAAGCCATGATTCATGACAGAATTTTACATTCCATGAGAGATTACAGTGGCCCGATGTATGACACGCAGAGTACAGCACTAACATAAACAATTCAGTTTAATGTTTAAACAGCACTTGATGTTTAGAATCTCACAATAAAAGAAACATATTATTGTAGAAATTATCACTTTGACAGTGATTGAAGGGTAGATAGGCATGTGGCCTATAAAGCTATAATTTTTACAGTCCACAGCTTGAGTTTAATCATTTTATATAACATTTCCAAGACATCCCATAAGTATTTCATCCAGCTTATAACTTAAACAACAACCTTTTCCTAAAGCAAAACTCCCAGTAACTGATGTGGACGGAGTAAAATTTAGGATAAACTGAAAAGGCATAATGTAACACAGTATCATAAATATTTACCAGAAATTGATAACAACCTGGATGTTTTATATAGGAATGTTAATTATGGTCATATATATGTTTAAAATTTCAAGTTTTAAAAATCTTACTTCAAGGGTTTAATTACCTCTAAATCTTACTTTGGTACTGTTAACATACTTTTGTGTACATTTAGTATTCTTCTGGGCTTTTGAAAGTATTTGTGATTTTGAAGAAGAGTTTACAGATAACTGTTGGTTCATATAGATCAGGGTTGGGGAACGTCTGGCCGTATAGGCCCATGAAATCATTAGGTCTGGTCATGTCAAGGCAACTGGAGTTCCATCAATCACATTGTTCTTGTTGATGTTAAGTGCCGCAGAGTCAGTTCAACTCACAGAGACTCTGTCTAGGGTTTCCAGGGAGTAAGTGGTGAGTTTGAACCACCAGCCTTATGGTCTAGTGTATTATCCTGAAGCACCACACCAGGACTCAGTATGTTGTTGTTGTTATGTGCCGGGAAGTACGTTCTGACTCATAGCGACCCTGTATAGGGTTTCCGAGGCTGTAAATCTTTACGGAAGCAGAAAGACTCCTCTTTCTCCCACGGAACAGCTGGTAGTTTCAAACTGCTAATCCTGAGGATAGCAGCTCGGTCCATATAAGGCCCTCGAAATCATTTGGTATGGTCCTGCCAGGGCAACCACAGTTCCAGCCATTACATAGTTGCTGTTGTTGTTGTTGTTAAGTGCCATCGAGTCAGTTCCAACCCATAGCGACCCTGTATAGGGTTTCCGAGGAACAGCTGGTGAGCTTGAACCACCAAACTTGCAGTTCAAACAGCTTTGCAGTCTGGCTCATTAACCCACAGCACCATAGGTGTAAGTTAATCAAATGTTTGACTATATGTAGCAGATTAATTTTTAAGTAATTAATTTTGTATGGGCCGCGAATGATGTTATAAATTTTGGTAGAAAAAATGCTCTGTGAGTGAATGCACTGTATTGCAAAGTCAGTTTGAACTGCAACATTGGCAGTTCAAGCTCACCACCAGTTGCTGGAAACCCTATACAGGGCCACTATGAGTTGGAATGGACTCGACGGAACCTAACAACAACTATCCCTGATATATAGATGGTACAACTTTTGATGAATGTTATCAATATATGAGAATTATTCTGATAAAAGATCATACTGTCTAGTCTTTCTTAAGTTTTCTTTTGTTTTGTAAGGGTATTTGTAACTTTCCAATTTGAGTCTATGCATTTCTAATGTATCCAGTTTGGACAATTTTCTCAATTGCAATTCCATTTATGTGTCCTGTACATGTCTACAGAAAAGCTAAAAAACATTCATATGCAAAGCCATGCATGCATGTTGTGTGTCTGTCTGCGCACATGTGCCAGTTTGAGTTGTAAACGTCTGAGTTGGAACAGAAGAAACTGTATAACGGTTGTACCAATACAGGATGGGCTTCAAAAGTCATCATCATACTAATAAAACAATAGTAATTCAAGTAATTTTTTCACTAAAATAGGTCATAGTGAGTAACGTCCTACACGTTACTATATTTTTGTGAAAACAACCATTAATGGACCCAGGGATTTTTGGAGACTTCGCTGAGCTGGTGAATGGCTGTTGGAAGAAACAATACCAGTATCTTTTATCTGAATCTAAACCTTTTGCTTCGTTTTTGAGTTCTACAAAGAATCCTGGAGACTGTGACCTCTTGGTGATATTGAAAATATACATCTCATTTGATGAAAATTCCACAAGCACTGCAGGTAAACATTCTCAATACCTAATAGAAGCTCTTACCTGGCTTTTGGTTGCCGCAACCTTTGCAAACAGTGCTTGGGACACTTTAGCACGCTTCATTTCCTGCTGAATCTCATCATAAATGGAAGCATTAATGTTCATGGTATTGTTCTCTGGTTTCCCATTCCTCTCAGTGGCAATAGTAGCTGTTTTCACCTACAAAACATTTTGAGCATGACTGTCAGTTTTCATTAACCTAACTGTCTTGAAGCTTTTCAGGCTCAGCATCCAAACTGGACATAGCTGCTCCTTTTATGATCAAGGTGATCAACAGTGGAGTCATTCACCATTAGCTACCACCTCGAGATCAGACTGCCTAAGATCAGGAAGTCACATTTTTACAGGTGATCGCATCTGTAATATGACAGCAACCGCCAGCTGACAACCAGGAATTATAATGCCATCAAGTAAGTTTTCTGGACAACGCCAATTGTTCCAAAGAATTGAAAACCCTAAACTAATTGTTTCCCAATTACCTTCCACTGCAATCCTAACAAAGGAAACTCACAATTAAAGTCGTAATGCACGCTGCTGTGTCTTTATCAAGTGCCCTGTGCCTAATACAGACAATTGCATCACTAATAGCTATTACATACTATGGCCTTTTTAATTTTATACCCTTTTTTATGCCTTTTCCTCTTATGTTTCATTTAAAAAATCTTCCATAACAAAGCCATTTGCAGAGCTACATATTTAAATCTTCTATCCATCCATGAAACAGGTAGAGTGCCTTGCTTAATTATCATAAAGGCTGGTTGCATTTTACATGTGCATGTCCAAGCTGTTCTGTATAATTATTTCATCTTTTCCTGGCACCCCTGTACATAACTATTTCCTTTGGACTTGTGGAACCAGACAGTAAGAAAATGTTTCATGATATTTAGCAGAATATTACTGTAAGATAAGAAAACATAGTAAGTGCCTTTACAAGTATATTCAAATGTCTAAGGCCAAGCGAGCTATCAGTATGGATAGCAATACCTTTTGTAAGAACGACAAGCAGATAGCAGCAGAGAAATGCAATGAAACTTTAGGGGGGGAAATCAAATTTTAATTTCAAAATTTACTAAAATTATTATTAACCTTTAAAACTCTAAATTTAATTTTGATTTTACAATTATAAGAACTGGTCTGGAAGAATTCCTTATGTACTATGACGCGGTTTATTTACTGGGAAATTGATGAAAATGATAAATTACAACTGACGCAAGACCACGCTTTTCCCAGTAAAATGATACATTAAGGACCTCATTACTTAGTGTTCTTTACAGAACTCAGCTTTTTGTTCCTCTAGAAACTTACCATCTTGGACGATTTTTCACACATAATATGAACATGATAGTAAATGAACTGTGCTTTAGGATAAACAAATGATTATTGACACTAAAGGCCATTACCCCAATCCCCATCCATGCCTACAAATTCTGCAAGTCTTCCAGGTTCCTTTCACTCTGCCTTATGATTGTTGTTAAGTGCTGTCAAGTTGGTTCTGACACCTAATGACACCTAGTGGGACTTCCAAGGAGCAACTAGTACGTTTGAACTACCAACCTTGTGGTTCGCAGTCCGGTGCTGATCTAACACTGCCACACCATGATATTTGGCATAAAGAGAAGAAGTTGTACTTTGTGATTCAGTTCTCTGCATTCAGGGAGTGAGTCCCATTTAAAATACACCTTCTGAATCCGTCTAAACCTAGCCAGTTAGTGAAACAATTCACCTCTTACTTATCTCGAGGAGGCAGCTAGATTCTTCCAATATGACATTACCCTTTTAAACACTTAAAAGAATAACTCAATGAAATGGTAATGCCGCAGGCCTGATGGGAAGACATGGAAGGAGAGGCTGGACCACTAACAAACTTTTACTGGGCCTCATTTGCCTCTCCTAAACAATGAAATGAGGATGGGAACAGCAAGAGACTGAGTCAGAAGATCCCCAAGTTCGCACTGTAGCTCTGTGACTCTGGTTAGCCAGAGCCCTCACATTAGTACAAGTACATTAACGACTGGGGGCCACTAAGAAGGCACACAGGGCTTTGAAACAATAATCTGCTAAACACCACTTTAGGAGCCAGAAGAGTTAAAGCATTACCATAAATTGCCTACAAAGTTGCTTTGGTGAGATTCACAACTTTGCTCTGGGGTGGTCTTGCTTAGAGGCAGAGGGATAGATTTGATTACCCCATGGGGTCCCTTTTAATACTTATTTTTCTCACTACTAAAATGAAAGAGAAAAGAAAAGCCATTTCAATCGCTTTGAAAATTGAACAGTATGGAAATGGAGGCATGAAGTCCAGTGCCTTGAAAAGAATCCATTACTTTACTAGCATTCTGCTTAGCAATATCTAAGAGAGCAGGCTTTGAAAACTTTGTGTTATGGTATGTTTTAAAAATAATTTCCATTCTTTTGTAAAAACTATATTTAAGAATTTATCTTTAAGGTGGGCTATAATCATTTGTTCCAACCCTATGATTTTGCTTTGAAAAATGTCTTCGGTCTACTTTTTTAAAAAAATAAAGCAATTATAACTTTAACCAAAAAGCAAGAATTTAAAATCATCTAAAAAAATCAAATAATTCTTTCTTAGTAGCCAGCACAATCAAAAAGTGAAAGGCAAGTATGCACGAAACATTAAAAAATGTGAGCACAACTTCTATAAAATATAAAGCAAGAAAAAAATCTGTATTACTCATTTTAAAACTATTTAGAAAGGCTCTTCTTTCCCAGCTTGTTGAACCAGATAGACATCTTATCACAGATAAGCTATTAGAATTCTGGAATCACATTTTTACCTAAACACAAACTATTGCTTTAGGGGAACTGACTTGGACAGTGTTTCAAAACTATGAAAGCTGAATTTTTCCCCAGGTAAAAATGGAAACAAAAATCTTTTATACCTCACTCTACTAAGTACTATTTTAGCTTAGAAGAAAAAAAAAAAATCTTCTTTAATCCTGGTTTAGCTTTTAATATTATATCACACATTAAAATTCATAAAGTAGTTCATTCCAGGCAAAACAAACTGCTCTTCAGCTCTTTTCCGCAAATGGCACAGGAGGTAAAATAAATGCAGTTGCTTTCCGAATAGCTTTTATCAAGGTAGGACATTCAACTCCATCATTACAAAGGTACCGGGAAGTAGCTAAGACCAGGAGGTTCTACTTCTGGAGTCCTGGTGTGGCGCTGTGGGTTAATGCGCCAGACTGCAAAACCATTTGAACTGCAAGGTCGGAGTTCAAGCTCATCAGCTGCTCCTTGGAAACCCTATACAGGGTCGCTATGGGTCAGAATCAATTCAACAGAACTAAACAACAACAACATGGGGATAGGGTGCAGTCTAGGGCCTGCTTTTTATTCCACGACAATTGTGCATTGGAACTCTTATTTCCCACGAAAACTCTATTTTGCTACTATCTGGACTACAGAACGCAACCAATCATACTTTTAGGTTACATAAAATGGACTCTGGAGTTTTGGTGGCGATGTAGGATAAGCACTGGACTGCTAACCCCAAGGTCAGCAGTTCAAACCCACCAAAGATAAGGCTATCTGCTCCTAATAAGATTTATAGCCTCAGAAACCTATAGGGTGTTATGAGTCAGAATCTCAACAACACAGCAGCTGACAAGAGCAAAGTGAACTCTACTGTGGCCTTGATTGGTGAGAGAACTGCTCACAAGTACACAGCACCTACACACAACATAGGTGTTTATATAGTTTTAATAATAATCATGACCATAATAAAGGCTGACATTTATTAGTTGCTTATTTGTGCTGGGCATTATTCTAACATCTATTTAACCTGCATATTAACTCTGAGTAGATACTTAAAAGTTGAGAAATCTTAATACAAAGAGGCTAAATTTAGCTTATTAAGGTCCAGTTTTTAGGAGCTAATAGTTTTATCATTATTTTTCAAAATATGCATATAATTTTTTTTTTTTTTTTTTAAGTTATGTTATGCAGGGAATGTGCTGTTCTGAGGCATTTTTATTGGTGATGAAAAACAGTCTTTACTCTCCAATGAGACTGTCTTGAGAACCATGGTTCTTTTTTCCCCCATTTACAGGAACAAAATGAATGATTTTCCATATCTGGACTTATAAAAGTTCTAGAGCTTTTACAAAATGGCAATTAATGGAAGGTACTTTGAAGCCTGTTCAGTGAGCTCTCAAAGCAATGCTATTAAAGGACGGATAACAAACACAGAACTTTGGTCAAGTGTTAAATTAAGTCCCTGCCTAGAACTAAATCTGATATTAAGAAGAACCGAATTATAGGATAGACATCTACCATATTAATTATATATTTCCTATATGAACTTTGTACATTTTCTAAAGCAATGTTACAAAATATCACTTTTCTTTAGAAGAAACCCAAGAATTACAGATGCAAAAAACAATTACGTAGCTAATTGAAAGTTACGTTGATAATTACAGATTTTCAAAAGCCCTCAGAAATTCTTAAAATTAATTTAGCTACAAAAGACAGACAAGAACCTACAAATAAAACCAGAGCAAGCACACTCCTAAGGTAGAAATTATCAATTTAAAACTGAGCTATTCCATGAAAAGGAGAATCACCATGTAAAGGTGATTATTAATAAAATCCTTCTCTTGTTAAATCATCTGGAAATTGTGTTCAGTATGTTGTTGTTATTCTTAAGTGCTGTGAAGTGGTTCCAACTCATAGCGACTCTGTATGGAGTTTCTGAGGAGCTGCTGGTGAGCTTGAACTGCCAACCTTGTGATTCAAACCAACCCTGCAGTTTAGCGAGCGCATTAACACACAGTGTCAAACCAGGGCTCCTAGCTCAGTATGATAGCTAGAAAAGAAACCACTAAGGCCAGGAGGTATATATTTACATGTATGGAGATCTGGTGTTGCGCTGTAGAGTAAGCACTGAACCACTGCTAACCACAAGGTCGGCGATTCACACCCACCAGCTGTTCCCTCAGAAACCCTACACAGGATCGCTATGAGACTGCACTTGACAACAATGAATGGAACAGGCTGTTTTTCTCCAGTCCTAGAGATGCCAGATTGTACGAAACCTTCCAAAACACGCATTATTTGTCAAGCATTTAATGTAGGATAAGCACTGGACTATGAATCACAGGGTCAACATTTTGAGTCCACCAGCTGATTCATGG